GACTGCTGTGCCAGGCTAGGTGCAGGAGGAGGCCACGGGACAGACCCAGCAGGTGCCATGGGTTGACTGCTGTGCCAGGCTAGGTGCATCTGACGACAAACATCTGGGCAGTTCACCATCATTGGTTCAAGCAGAGCTTGTCTCTTGCTTCTGCTGATGAGACACGGAGTTGGGCAGACTCCAAATATACAGCAGCAGCAGGCATCGACAGGGTTGGGATCGAACCCACGACCTCCTATGTACCAGGCGAGGTAGTTAATATCTCATCAGGGTCAGGATCGAATCCACAACCTCTTGTGTACCAGGCGAGGTAGTCAACATCTGGACCAAAGTCACCTGAGACCCAGGCAGCAGCAACTCGCCACAACAAACACAATTGCAAAGTTCTGTTGAGTCAGCTTATTTATTAACAACAACAATCGATAAACAAACAATGGTCTAGATATATATGTACACATTATTACATTATAATATTTTTTTATCTCTATCCTAACTCTTCACACATGCACGTGGCTAAGCAGGCTCTAGTCCATTGGGTGGTGAGTGTGGGTGGTGTGGGTGGTGTGGTGATTGTGGGTGGTGAGTGTGGGTGGTGAGTGTGGTGTGTGTGGTGAGTGAGTGGTGTATGTGGGTGGTGAGTGTGGGTGGTGTGGTGAGTGTGGGTGGTGTGGGTGGTATGGGTGGTGTCGGTTGTGTAGGTGGGGAGTGTAGGTGAGCGACGATGACGACGATGGCGATGGGAGCTTCCCCTCCGGCTCCGCTCTGTGGAGAGAGAAGCACCAGCACCACAGCAGCGCATCGTCATCATCATCATCATCATCAACATCGTCATCATCATCGCCATTGTCATCACCATCATCATCGTCGTCGTCGTCGTCGTCATCAGCAGACCCACAGAGACCCATAGATCCACAGAGACCCATAGACCCATGTAGACCAGAAGCCACTTGGCCCTCTCAGCTGATAGCCGAATAAAGTGGGCTGATAACATCATCTTCATCACGTGGACATTCATAGCGGCAGTCAATTGCTCGAAGTGCGTGACGCCGATTCTCAACATGTAGGGGAAAATATGGAGGACCCTGAAAAGAATCTACGCGGTGACCACCACGGGGACAGAAACGCAGACTGCAAATATACAGCAGAAGGCATCGTCAGGGTCAGGATCGAGCCCACGACCTGCGTAACAGGCGAGGTAGTTAACACTCACTACATCTCGCGTTGTTCATAAGTGCTGGTGGTGTTCGTAAGTGAGGGTGGTGTTCGTAAGTGTGGGTGGTGTTCGTAAGTGTGGGTGGTGTTCGTAAGTGTGGGTGGTGTTGGTGAGTGCTGGTGGTGTTCATAAGTCGAGCGTAGGGGCCCATGCGTACCTCCATGGTGTTGATACTCAGAGTGGCTTCTCTCATGCAGCAGTCCCCAAGGTCTCTGTGTGGAAAGCTGTGGGTAGGTGGGGGGGGGGTGGAGATGGTGTAGAGAGTCACAACACTAACTCACATCCTCACCACTTTCCCACATCCCCCAACCAGGAACCCACCATTCTAACCACGAACCCCCATCCTCACCACAAACTCACAACACGGACTCACATCCTCACCACGAACTCAGTCACGAAAGCTCCAAATTAAGACTGATATAACAAGTCACGCAAAACATAAAATAGATATACTGTTGATATCCATCACACACTGTTGCTGTAACAACAGTCATATTTTCATTGCAACTCACGGCCACTGGAAAATTAACCAATCTGAATTGCCATGCATGCACTTTTTTTAACCACAATTCGTAGAAAATCGTTCCTTCCTTTGTGTCTACAACAAACATCTCTTTAGTACCAGCACTCATAGTGGAAAGTCGTATAGAAATTCATACATTTGTTAACATTATTCACCCTTGGAGTGTGCACGACCATCATGCACAGTTTTAACAACACGGTTGCCAAAGACCGGTGACACGCATTGTTGTTTTCAGAGATCTAGGAGCCAGCTGCTTTGATGTTTATGAGTTTAACATTTTACGTTGTGGCAATGAGAACCACTGTCACATCTGATGGCCCTTTCAACGTAGTTCCCGTACAAAACGTGTGCTCGGCGTTTACATCATTCTACACACAGCAGTGTGCATGAAGAGAAACTTAATTTGTCTAGACGCGAGTCATCCTGTCAATCACAGCAGTATTTTGTCGTACATAGGGCTCGTCCTAACAGGAGGGACATGTGAACGATGGTATCGATAATCGATTACGTATAAACTTTGACCTAGGTAACAAAATGCGACTGAAAATGTTCATGGACAATCAGTATGTTCTAAACTGTCTTCTCATTCCGATATTTTTTTGTTCAGTTGCAAGTTTGGAAGAAAAGAAAAAGATTTAACGTGAAGAAAAATTTGATTGCCATGTTGGGTAGTTTTTGCGAAGTCTTGAGGTTTGGTTGGGGGGGGGGCATACCAAAATTATTGTCCAATTCACTGCTGATTGAAGGCTTCCCCACAACATGTTTGTTATGGTTGTTGTTTGACTAGGCCCTCACTACACTGGTCATTGCAGGTTGATGAAGGGGAGCCAAGGCTGGCTCAGGTGTCGCCGCATCGCGAATGTTAAACCTCGGGCTGGGTATCAAACGTCTTCCGTCACATAAGCTATGAAAAGCAACTCTTCGAGGTTCAGTTGTACGTGAATGCACTGCGCCACCATTCCACTTTATTGTAAATCGGAAAATTTCCATAGACAAACACTGGTATCGCTGTAATACTCCACCCGGAGTGTGCAATTATTACAAAATATACGACTGTTGTGTTGTGGAATAATGAATCGGTGGTTGTCCTGTGGAAAGTCTCTCTGGAATTACCACTAATGGAGATGGGTGACGCCCCAGTGCTCGCATGAACATGGGGACATTGTCTTAGCTTGATTGTCGTATAATAGCCGTGAAATAATTACTAAACTTTTTTGTTATTTACCAAGGAAGGCCCACTGAGCTATATAGCTCTCTTTTAGAAGCGATCTGGCCACGAATGATAGCAAAAACGAAGTGACTTATCGCCTGGAAATTTTTCGCAGACAAATACTCCGAACGCATGTTTATATTCTAAATGTGGAGGGAAAAACCGGGGGATCCCTAGAAAAATCCACGCGACCACGGGAAGAACATGCAAACTCCAAATATGCTGATGTCAGGGTCGAGATCGAATCCACGACTTCGTGTATACCAGTCGAGGTAGTTAACATTTCGCTACCGTGGTAACTGTAATACAAGGTAATGGTACAGCCCCTGCAATTATTTGTGCCACTGCTGGTGAAAGGGCCTCTGCTAGAAATAGCTCTAGAGTGCTGTTCTAGAGGGTATTTTTTGGTGAGCTCTTCCAAGCTTGCAAGACGCCTTGGAATAGGTTGGAGTAACCCACACTTTATCCTGCCGCTCGAAGAAAACAACCCCCACAAAACATTCTTTACATCATTCTGAAATTTAGTAGAGCACAATTATTACCGCACGGTATTATTATTACGTAATTAGTGCTCGTGAAGCCTTCTTCGCCGGCTACCACGCCGCTCTGTTGTACAAGCGGCACTTAGTCTCGCGTGGCTGGGCCATGCTCCTGGCAAAGTGTTCGGTTTTTGGGTACCGCGTGTGCGCGCTCAAGAGTTCGCCGGGCGATGACAACCCCTGCCCCCCACACTCAACACTTAGGGCGATCTCGTGCACAGACATCTGTAAACAGACAACGAAAACCATGGGGCACATTTGTAAAATCATTTGTTTATTGCTGCTGTAGGTCACCATTGAAAAATACATGCTTAGCTAAATGGCCGTTACCCAAAATAACTGCCTGACTGACTATATAGTTGGTGCACATTTGCATCTGGATTAAGGTCAGACTAAACCTAACCCAAGAGCATGATCTGGAATTCTAAAGGGAATAATTGCACCACTCTCTGACCAAGCAGAAACAGTTGGCACTGGCAGTTTGATGATCATACCTTGTCAGACTGCACTCATAGAGGTTGTTTACTGCTCCTGACATCTTTATGGCAATCAGTGTTGATGGGGTGCTATTATAGGCCCTCCTGAAAATCCACAATTATGCCACAGTCTGTCTACCTGTTGCAGGGGGAGTGCGTATCAGACTCGCCGTGGTGCCAAGGTATATGCAGATACACCCGATATGTAAACGTCTGTTGAACACGACGTTTACCAGCACCGTACGCACGGATTGGTTACAAGACACAAGATTAAAGCGCAGACTCCTTTAAACGTTGCAAGCGTGCTTTACGTACCTTTAACTTCTTTCCCACCATACGTAGCCAACCGTGTTAATCGGAGGAGGTGCGGGGGCAGGATAACAAACTAAACGCAGAAGGCAGTTCTGAAAGAATGAGTCGTTCTAAAGAAATGTGCCTGGGAAGTGAGCGAATGTACACGAGATGAAGAAACACCGCTTGAAAAGGTCGGATTTTGGAACATCGATAGAAATAAGTAATATTTAAAAATACTTTTTTTTAAACACGCTTTAATGAAATGTACCGTACTAGTAAGGGCAGAACTCTACGATCTTGATTTTTGATTAGAGTGTGCTGATTTTTAAAGGTGCATTGAAAAATGTATATTCTGCTACTGATACTCCTGCTGTTGTGGAGTGACTCATGTAACCAACTACAGCTGCAAAGTTTGGTCGTACATGTTACGTGTATCGTTTATTGTTAAATTTGAATCAAAGTTCCTATGATCACTGTTACATTGTTTTTATAGCCTTATTTTGGTGATTTTGAAAACGTTTTGTTTAGCCATGTTTGTTGTAGTACAGAGTTAGCCTGATAACTTTAATCTACATTGTCTTATGGTTGTTATTGTTGGACTTGCATCCCACTTGGATTTTTGCACATGGCGTTGGAATCTGGTGTTTATTCTGGAAGACTTTGCTGTTTTATCCAGGATTTTTCTGTTGCGATGTTTCTTGCTTTTTTTTTTTGCGGTTGCACCCGAGTCAAGATCCGCATGGCTCACAGGGTTATAAAACAACACATTCCTGCAGAGGGAGCTGGTAGGAACGTTGGGTTGCTCGGTCAATGGCCAGGGTCAACGGCGGTGTGGTGTATTCTGCAAATATGGCCGACTGTGAGGGCGGGCACAAGCTGGCATGAGTAGGTTAAACGTTGAGTTTTATCAGGGCACCACGGGGTGACCAGCCCCTCCCCACCCAGCCCCACCCCTCCCACCCCCCACCCAGCCACTCCCCACCCTCCCCACCCAGCCCCTCCCCACCCTCCCCACCCAGGCCCTCCCTGCACAACGGACGGACATAATAATCCCCTGTGGGCTGGTGTAGCCAGAAGGTTCCAACCAGTATTAATGAAACTGAAACAAGGACTGTTAGTTAAGTATCTTGGCAAGCCCTGATATGTTGCTGTTACTGTCATTGTTTAGATCCCAAGTTAGTCAGCATTTAAAACATGCATAACAAACCTTTTTAAATCTCTTAGAATATGAATAACATGTCTACAATGATTGTGTTCTGATTGCTGGCACAATTGTGCCCTACATTACATGTACTGAATGTTATTCAACATTGGGGAGGAGTCTGCCTTCATGTTCAGACACTCGCTGCTGCCATAGTTGTCTCCAATCTGAAGGCACAGCCACATGGATGGTATTTCGGACATCAAATAACCTGCGAAGTCATGCTCGGGTTATAACAAATATTTTTAAGTATGGTCATATGACCCTAATGGCGTACAAGGCATGGGGGGGGGGGAGCTTTATCAAGCATTCGATTAATACAAATGGTCTGTACATTAACATGCATATCTGGATTAGAGATTAAATATCATTAAGTCTGGCGATGATGTTTAATGCAGGTGGAATGAACATGTTCATGTGGATGAATGAGTGATCGGACGCATGCATGATTGGGCAAACGAGCGAGTGAATAGCTTGTAAAGCAACAGGCATGAAATTTATTTAATTGGTACAGTGAGTGGTCAAATATGTAATAATTGAGAGGATGAGTAAGTCAAAAGGTTGCAAAATCTGAGCGTTGTTCCAACCTCCCCAGGCCATCCAACTTCAAACAGAATCTACTCCTTCCCAACAACATGGACAGCCAAATCAAGTGGGCTGAGATCTTGGATGACTGAGGGTAAGTCCCAGATACCTGCATCACATTGCTTATATGCAGAGAAGGAAGCTCCTTGATCAATTACTTTTAGTAGACATGGCTTGGTGGTGATGGGAAGACGTAATGAGCGAGTGTGGCTGAGAGGATGGGTTCAGATCTGAGTATCAGCCATTTTTGTTTAAACTGGGGTCTCAAGCTAAACATGACTTGTAAAGTTTTACTGCCATGTGATGAATATTTATCAATAGCAGGTCCTATTGTGTGGTAAGAGGCAATTACAGCGATCTTAAAATTATTTCTGTGAAACTCCACGTCCTTCGTTCTCTAATTCATTACTCGTCATTTGAATTAATTTTGTTCTTTGTATTCCAGGAATCGTCGTGCCAGTCGACCACGTGCAGGGACATGGATAAGGTGGACCCTTTCCCAGGCCAAAGTTGCTACAAGCATCACTCCCCAAAGGTGTGGGGTCTGTGGGGGCCAAACACACAACATTTTCTCCAAAACTAGCACACCATCAAAATATCACTACACCATCTCTCCACATTACCTTTCTCATGACACCACACCACCACGGCCAATTAAATGCACCATCATAGAGCCTCATCGTGTCTCTACAATGAGGGAAAAAAGTATTTGATCCCCTGCTGATTTTGTGCGTTTGCCCACTGACAAATAAATGATCAGTCTATAATTTTAATGGTAGGTTTATTTGAAGAGTGAGACAGAATAACAACAAAAATCCAGAAAAACGCATGTCAAAAATGTTTTAAATTGATTTGCATTTTAATGAGGGAAATAAGTATTTGACCCCCAGCGGTTAGCGCCCTACGAACTCAGAACTACACGAGAGGATCTCGTCAATGATCTCAAGGCAGCTGGGACCATAGTCACCAAGAAAACAGTTGGTAACACACTACGCCATGAAGGACTGAAATCCTGCAGCGCCCGCAAGGTCCCCCTGCTCAAGAAAGCACATATACATGCCCGTCTGAAGTTTGCCAATGAACATCTGAATGATTCAGAGGACAACTGGGTGAAAGTATTGTGGTCAGATGAGACCAAAATGGAGCTGTTTGGCATCAACTCAACTCGCCGTGTGTGGATGAGGAATGCTGCCTATGACCGCAAGAACACCATCCCCACTGTCAAACATGGAGGTGGAAACATTATGCTTTGGGGGTGTTTTTCTGCTAAGGGGACAGGACAACTTCACTGCATCAAAGGGACGATGTAAGGGATCATCTACCGTCAAATCTTGGGTCAGAACCTCCTTCCCTCAGCCAGGGCATTGAAAATGGGTCGTGGATGGGTATTCCAGCATGACAATGACCAAAAACACACGGCCAAGGCAACAAAGGAGTGGGTCAAGAAGAAGCACATTAAGGTCCTGGAGTGGCCTAGCCAGTCTCCAGACCTTAATCCCATAGAAAATCTGTGGAAGGAGCTGAAGGTTCGAGTTGCCAAACGTCAGCCTCGAAACCTTAATGACTTGGAGAAGATCTGCAAAGAGGAGTGGGACAAAATCCCTCCTGAGATGTGTGCAAACCTGGTGGCCAACTACAAGAAACGTCCGACCTCTGTGATTGCCAACAAGGGTTTTGCCACCAAGTACTAAGTCATGTTTTGCAGAGGGGTCAAATACTTATTTCCCTAATTAAAATGCAAATCAATTCATAACATTTTTGACATGCGTTTTTCTGGATTTTGTTGTTCTGTCTCTCACTGTTCAAATAAACCTACAATTAAAATTATAGACTGATCATTTCTTTGCCTGTGGGCAAATGTACAAAATCAGCAGGGGATCAAATACTTTTTTCCCTCACTATACCATCATAAGACACCATCTCTCGAAGATTCCACTACTTGACCTCTCCAAATAACAACACCATCTCTCCACCATCCCACTCATGCAAGCACTTGAAGTGGTAATTTATTACCAATGAAGACAGAATTAAATAAATGTGATAAAAGTATTGATGGATAAGGTGTTATGTTAACATCAGGTGATAGTGTATATTCATGTGTGTGCTAAGAAAGCTTGAATGAGTGAATGTGGATGTCTGCATCTGTACATAGATGTGTGAGTATGTATTTGTGTTTATGTGCACGTCTATGTTTGCGTGCCTGTTGGTATGAATTTTTAACACGGAGGCTTTCGCGACCAGTATTATTCATAATCAACGTTTTTGTGTTATATCACGTTATTTATAAATGTGTCGTAACCTTCCACCACCCGACACGGCCAATCAGCAAAAAAGTGTCGCGTTGACAAAAGACAAATAGTTCACTACTTTAGCCCACCGGTGTGTTGAAGTGTGAATCCACAACATTTCCAGTTTTTTTTTTGTAAATGTTGTGGTTTCACGCTTCAACACACCGGTGGGCTAAAGTAGTGAACTATTTGTCTTTTGTCAACGTGACACTTTTTTGATGATTGGCCGTGTCGGGTGGTGGAAGGTTACGACACATTTATAAATAACGCGATCTAACACAAAAACGTTGATTATGAGGGTAGGAATGTTTTGCATGTGCATGTTTGAATATTCCTGTGGTCATCTTTGCTTGAACAGAGGATATTTGGGGAGGTGAAGGACTTCAGCGGGGTGAAGCGTCTCAAGGAGGAGAAGGACCTTGCCACGGAGAAACGCCTCGTGGTAGAGGAGCACCTCTTTGAAATGCAGCGCCTTGCCAGGGTGGAGTGCCGCACAGAGGAGAAGTGCCTCAGAGACGATCTCCACCAGCAGCGCCTCATTAAAGTGAAGTGCTTCACGGATGAGAAGCGTCTTGTTCTCCCCGTGGCCGCATGGATTTTTCTCTGGGTCCTTCGGTTTTTCCCTCCACATTCAGAAACATGTGTTTAAGAGTATTTGGCTGCTATAAATTTCTGCGTAACAAGCCAATTCATGGGTATTTCATTTGTGGCCAGGTCGCGTCTGGAATAGAGCTGCATAGCAGTGGGCCTTACCTGCTAAAATACAAATAGATTAGTTTTGTTAGTTTATTTTGTGCCACAGAGGAGGGGGGGGTGTCCATTCAAATGGTCGAGATGTGACGCAAGGTGCTTAAGACTTCCCAAAAATATTATTTACTTATGGCAGTTTTTCATATCTACACATGCACAACGACACGCCACTTTCTCCATCTGCCTGACTTGGTATTTTCTTTTTTTCTTATTTAAATAAATGTTAATTTTTCGTTTTGTGTACGCGTGTATGTTTGTGTACACCGTTTGGGGAGCGGTGGTGCAGCGGTTAGCGCCCTACGAACTCAGCCATCCGAGTACGTGGTGTGGTGTGTATAACATCGCAAACCTGGGGAGACAAAGGCAGCCAGACGTGGGGCTGGCCACCCACCCACTTCTGTGCCATGCCGGCCATCATAGGTGCTACCCGCTAACAGCACTTGCCCCAGAAATCTGTTAAAGGCGATACGGGGTACTTTTGTCTTTTTGTGCAATTGTGTGCGTCTGTGTGCGACGCATGCGAAGATGTGCATGTTTGTGTTTGATAAATGTACATCCGCAATGTGTGTGTGACGCGTATGATGCGCGTGTGTGACGAGGGTTGGAACAGCAATTCACGCACTGCCCTATCCACACGGCGACCTCTCCTCAACGCCTCGAGCCTCGGCGGAGAGCGCCGCGAGGTTTGACTCCAACTCCGGGTTTTCAGGGACAAACACCCCCCCCCATGCCCACGGTGTTGGGAGGAGGGGGGAATCGCCCCCCCCCTCAATCCACGCTCGGGAACTTACGCTTCTTCGCCGTGTTCATGTACGGTTTCCAGGGCCACTCCACCTCGGCGGTGGCCGCGTTGTCCAGCGTGCCCAGTTTAATCTCGTAGACTGCGTGACACACGAAGGCAAAGATCCCCCCCCCATGTAGCCTTTAACAGACCGTGTGGGAAAAGCGCTGTTCGCTTATTAGCACGTAGGAAAGCCAGCACGGCACACGAAGGGGTGGGTGTGGGTGGCCAGCATTACGCCCGGTCATCTTTAAATTTACACATCGCATCGGGGGTGGGGGAATGCGGGTCAGGTCACGGCACAGCGAATGCGACCAGAGCAGCGACCCCACCGACTCAAGTTCCGACCCGCTCTGCAAGTCACCTGCGGGCCGTGCGGCCCAACGCTAGACTTACATTCAGTCCATCATCCTCCCTGGACTCTCATTATGCGTCCTAGCAGACGTTTGCCAGTTAGAGGCCAGCGGCCGCCCTGTTAAAAACTGCGGATGCATAAACAAATGAACATTACGCGCCGTCAGCTTCAGAGATGGCATTAAATAAAAACTCTGTGCCCATGCTCGAAAACTCAAGTAAAACGAAACTTTTTATTTTACCACTGAGCTATGTATCTCTTTTCACATAATAATGTATAGCAGCCAAATACTCTAAATTCAAGTTTTTAAATGTGGAGAGAAAAACCCGGAGGACCCGGAGAAAAATCCATGCGACCAGGGGGAGAACATGCAAACTCCGAATATACAGGCGTCGGGGTCGGGATCGAACCTATGATCTCCTGTATACCTGGCGAAGTCGTCATCTCACCACCGTGGCATGCCGGCATTACGGTGAAATTTACAGTGTTTGTAAAACAACCCGCAAATTACCTAGTTGGGTCAAATCACATCGCAACATCAAAATAGTTTAGTTTCACATATGTGCATTGTCGGGGCCGCACGTCGGGGTCTGCACTCAAGGCCACCAGGGCCCCCAAGTGGCTCGTGGTGGGCCTTGCAATTGTAATAAAAGGGACTCGGACACTTCCTTCTGTCTTCGTGTCTTTTATTGGGTTCTCGTCTTCACCCACACGGCACTCTGTTATAACTCTGTATTTGTAGCCCCCGGCTATTCACTGCTATTATAGCTTCTTCTTCCCTCTGACTCTCTGCTTCATCTACTGTAACCTCCTCCCTGCAGACTCGCTGCTACCTCTATGCAGACTCCCACTGCTACCCCTATGTGCAGACCCTCTGGCTGCTACCGTATGCAGACCCGCTGCTGACTCTGTATGCAGCCCCGCTGCTGACTCTCTGTGCAGCCCCGCTGCTGACTGCAGCCTCCTCGCTGCTTCGGGTCGGTCACCGCTGGCCAACGGTGCCGATCCTCGCTCCCCCGTGTTCGTGGCGATCTCGCCACCCTCCGCTTCGCCCTTCGTGGCCTCTCTCTGTTCCTGGTTCCCCGTCACTCCCCATCCTCTTCCGGTTCCCCTCCTTCTATACTCAACCCCTCACCCCCCCACGTGACCTAACTCCTCCCCTCATGACGGCACCTCCGGAGGGCCGTTTACACCCGCATTACATCACCCTCCCCCATAAAGAAAATCCAGCCGACCTCGGCTGAATTGCAACCTGAAAAGCAATGCGGGTGTAAAGGGCCAACACGTAAAAAGACACGAAGCATGCAAGAACAATATAACAATGAACACAACACAACACAATCTAACGAAACGTGAGGGATTTCGAGCGAGTACGGGTAGCCGGGCCGTCCCGGACGGTCGGCAGCCCACCCGCCGAGCGGGAACGTGGAAGGGTTTTAGGGGCGACGGGCGCAAGTTCTTCCGTCGCCATTGGAGGCCCGCCAGTGTCCCGCTCGCGTCCAGAGACATCCCGTACTCGCGTCCGCGGAGGGATAGGAAGAGCTGCAGGTCCCGTGGGTTCCGCGGCACCGGTCGGCATCCCACGAGCGGAACGTCCTCCCTGCGCTGTCACGGCCGGCTTGTCTGTGAAGGGTACGACAGGCGCTTTCGCAAGGTCAGCAGACACAGGCAAGGGCGAGTCGGCAGCAACAGACCCCGGCAAGGCAACTTCGGGAGATGACGCATCCGGCCGCGGGGCAATGTATGGCTTCAACCGGGATGTATGCACGAACCAGCGCCGCGAACCAACCTGAACACGCGCCGACTGTGGGTTGGGAACCTCAATGAGGCGGACCGGACCTTGCCACGGTTTGTGTAATTTAGGAGAGGTACCTGGCCGCACCTGTGGGCAATGAAGCCAGGCCAGGTCCCCCTTTTTCCAGGGGCACTCCCCCTTCGAACGTCGGGCACACCGCTCATTCCTGGCCTGAGCTTTGGCTGTAGCCATGCGGGCTCTTTCCCTCGCCTCAGTGACACGGCGAACGTTGTCCTGAATATACTCAGGAAGAGGCTTAACAGGCCCCCTCGCACCGGTTCCCAACTGCTCATTAATCGGCGGCACATTCTCACGGCCGTACATAAGGAAGAACGGCGAGTATCCAGTAGCCGCGTGCGGCGTCATGCGATACGCCGAAAGCACCCCAGGGATATGCAAATCCCAATCAGATTGATTTTCCCCGACTGTATGGCACAGCATGGCGGACAGAGTCCGATTCAACCGTTCCACCATCCCATCCGTTTGTGGGTGGTAGGGGGACGTCCGTATCTTTTTAGTTCCCAAAGCCGCACACACCTCCCCCAACAATTTGGACGAAAAGTTACGCCCCTGATCTGTAAGGAGCCTCTCCGGCGCCCCCTTGTCCATTACATACCCAAATAGAAAGGCGTCAGTGATAGACGCCGCTGACTGGTCAGGCAAAGGCCAGGCCATCGGCCAGCGAGAGAGGTACTCCACCCCCACCAGTAAATACTTATTTCCCTTAGCGGATGGCGGAAAGGGTCCCAAAATATCTAACGCCACCAGCTCATTAACCCGAGATACTTGAATCGATTGTATCGGCGGAACATATGGATGTTTAGGTGGTTTACGGCGGGCACAATCGGGACACGCGCGAACGTGACCGACGACATCCGTCGTCATGCCGTGCCAATAATAGTCTCGTTGCAGCGTCAATAGGGTTTTCTGCACCCCCAGGTGTAAAAGTGTGTCACAGTGCAAATATCTAATCAACTCGTACCGCAATGACGCAGGCACAACGAGACGCCAGTGTTCCTGTATCCCTTCCCTCCACATCAGTAACCCATCTCGGAGAGCAGTTTCCGAAATACCACCCGCACCGAGTTCCTTACCCGCCTTCTCCGTTCGTTTTCGTAACGACACCAAAGAATCGTCCAACATTTGCTCCCGAATCCACACAGACCTCGGAAGACGCAAAATCCCGTCAGCCGGTCCCCCATCAACCGGTCCCGGTGTAAGCGGAGTTTCGAGAACATCCACCGCCAGCGCGACAGGCTGAGGGGGGGGCTGAGTCGGTCCACACCTATGCGTCCCCGACGCACACGTACAAGGGGATTGTTGCGGCAACCTGGACAGTGCGTCCGCGTTAGCGTGACGCACACCCTTCCGATGGTGAATTTGGAAGGAAAATTCTTGCAACGTGTCCAGCCATCTCGCCAATTGTCCGGATGGCTGGTCCATCTTAAGAGCGTACTGTAAGGCCGCATGGTCCGTGCGGACAATAAACGACCGACCGTACAGATACGGTCGAAATTGGCGGAGAAAAAACACAATAGCCAAAAGTTCCCTGCGAGTGACGCAGTAACGGGTTTCCGCGGGAGACAAAACTCGACTCCCATACGCCACCACACGCTCAACACCACCTTTTGACTGGGACAACACCGCCCCAATACCAGTGTCACTCGCATCAGTATCCAGAATGAAGGGATGTTCAAAATCCGGATAATCCAACGTCGGCGCAGTAGCCAGTAAATCGCGCAGGCTCCGAAACGCCGCCTCCTCCGGCGGTCCCCACACAAATTTATGCCCCTTCCCAGTAAGGAGATGCAAAGGCCTGGCGATAGTAGCGAAATTCGGAACAAACCTCCGATAATATGAGGCGAACCCCAAAAACCGACGCACATCACCCACCGTGGCCGGGGTTGCCCAATCCCGGACACAAGCAGTTTTCTCTGGATCCGTGGCCACCCCGTCCGCACTAACAATATGTCCCAAGTATCGAACGGAGCGTTGCAGTAAATGACATTTCTTAGGCTTGAATTTCAAATTAGC